CCATCCTTCCAGCAGTTGGCTTCACGGCTTCACCGTCCTGAGCTACTTGGACCAGAACCTCACGAGCGTCATCGTGAACAGGCCCTCGAACAATCTCAAGAAAGGACCGGGCTATCATCGGGCGCAAGAGTGGACCTCCCTGGGCCAAGACGTCCCGGTCTTGGTGCAAATTCCTCCTGATTGTGATCTCCGTGGTTGGATTTGGCTTTGGGTGGCCGACGCCGACTGGAGACTTTGTGCTCAACAAGTTCTATGTGCACCTCGTTCCCGACTTTCATGTTGATGTGTGGGCTCAGATGTGGGATCCTGGGCCCTGGTCTTTCGAAGACCGCCTTGCAGGCATGGCCGGTGACTTCGCTGGCTGGCAACTGGTGGTCGCCGTGGCTTTGTCTACCAGCTTCCTGGCACTCCATCGTTTGGGTGTGGCACTGTGGGTTGTGCTCTACCCGGCTGTTCCTGTGGACTGTGCTTCGACGTGGAGGCCGGCTTCGATGCTTTGCTTGGCGGATCGTGCTCCGGACAGCCTGTTCTCCGATGTGGGTGCAGTGGCTGATGGCTTGCGGCGACCTTCTCGCCGTCGACTCCTTCGTTGGCTTTGGAGGAGACTTCGCCGGCAGGCTGTGGCTTTTGAGGCTGCTTGGGTTGGCAGCCGCCGCCGCTCTTGGTCCAAGAGCTTCTACCGTGCAAGGGTGCTGGCCTTCGACTTTGTGAATCGACATGGTGTCCGTGCCTCAGCTTCGACTTTGCCCAGGCATTTCGACTTTGGGCATCACCGCATGGTGGGAGGAGGCAGCTCAGATTTTCTTGATGGGCTTCAGAAATCTGTTTGAACTTTCGGCAGGAGGCTGATTATCTTGACAACGCTACGTCAAGGCAGCTCAAGGCTGTGGAGGACTTGGTTGGCCGCGCTCGACGGCAACCAGACTTTGACTTCCTGGATGGGCTCCAGAAGTTCATCGATAAGGAGCGGGCCAATGCGGGCGGCTCCATGGCTGGGGTCTCTTCCTGGACCTCGGGATGGGACGCAAGATGGGACGATTTTTTTGGCAAGACTGGTCTGGCTGGGAAGAGGAGGAAGGCCCCGGGCTTTCTTACCAGCGGCCGCTTGACTGGCCGACGCTGGCCCCGGCAAAACCTCCCACTCAGCAGCGTGCTCAGCGCCAGGTGACCGTCAAGCCTTCTTCTTGGCAGTCAGTTGCTTGGAGGCCCCGGCTTGCAGACTGGAAGTCGGACAACGCCAGCTCCGTGGACTTTGTTCAGGGTCAGCTTGAGCTTTCTTTGGCCCTCGACAAGTCTCCAGATGTCCCTCTGCTTGTGTTGGCGCAGGGCGTCGACGACTTCAAGGAGTGCGTTGGCATTGCGGAGGGTGAGCCAAAGGCAATGATCACCATTCTTCTTCCGGCTGACCATCATTGGCCCGAGGATGACACTGACCACCGGCCTGCTACCAGCAGGATTCCTGGCAACTTCCAGCGCTCTTTGCAGGTGAGGAGTTGCTTCATCCGGTCCTTTGCGAGTGGTTCGCCGTCACTTGTGACAAAGCAGCAAGTCGCCACGGCTTCCATCGCCGCTTACAAGACCAAGGCAGGGCCTCGCCATCGTGATGGATGGGTGCTGCGCTTTGTTTGTCCGTGGAAGTTCCATGGATCTGCCCAGGACTGGAAGAAAGTTGTCTCCAACCCTGGCCGTGCTGCTCGTGATTGGGCGTCCTTTGCCATCAACTCGCACAAGGAGCTGGGGGACACCTTCAAGTTTGAGCTCCTGGATGGTGGCAAAAGCAGTGCGCAGCTTCGGGGCCTGATGCGGGTCGCGAAGGGATGCTGCTGCTTCGTTGCTAAAGGCCAGTGGTCAGGCCGATGACCTTGGTCGATGCTGGTTTGTGGAGCCTGTGCATGGCGACATCCAGGCTACTCATCAGGGTGTTCTTTGGCATGATTGGCAACCTGAAGAGTCGTGGCTTGAGTACTTGAAAAGGGCAGTCAGGCTTTCTGATCAGGGAGTTGTGCTAGGTCGTGTTCAGCTGGGCTCTCGAGTCCCGAAGGACGACAAGCGCTTGGCCGATAAGGCTTCTACGTGGCAGGCATGTAGGTGCCCTCGGCACTGGACGGGCGAGATGGTTTGCGACCTCTTCGCTTCGCTTGGCTTTCGCAATGCCGATGTCTATCAGAAATGCAACCGGGGCCCCGAGGTTGATTGGCTCATCCGAGCCATCGCGCCCAATGCCAATGACCTCTTTCAGCCCAGTGTGAAGGATGGCGATGGCGCCTAGACCGAGATTACCATCGTCAGGGAGGCCCGGCGACGACAACATCATGGCTCTGTTGTCGACCTCAAGCGGGAGCAGAACGTGACCTACCGCCACGTGCCCAAGGACAAGCCCAGCAAGGCTAGGGAGAAGCGTGTTGTGGCCACCCAGCCTGCAGTTGATCCTGACGGTGATGCGGCTATGCAGTCTGCTCCTGGTGCTGAGGAACAGGAGGCCAAGCGGCCCAAGAAGGCTCCAGAGGCCTCTGCTGGCAAGGGCTCTAAGGCTCCTCCTTGGTTCCCTGAGGGCGGCAAGCGTGTCAAGAACGAGGGGGGCGATTGTTTGTTTTATGCTTTGGCTGACGGCCTCAAGGTCCATGCCCCTGAACAACAAGCTTCGGCACGCTCTGTCCGGGCCTTTCTGCACGCTTGGATGACCAAGCGCAAGGAGGAGTATGCTGCTCTTTGGGACGGCGTCAAAGCTGGCGTTGCCAACAAGGAGGCGGCTCCGGACTGGAAGGGTGGCTTCGAGGACTACCTCAACGACATCCGCGTTGCCGGCAGCTCGCTGCTGCGGCCCATGCTTGCAAGCGCGACATCCTGGTCCTTGACACCAACGGGCAGGTCACTGTCTTTTCTCATGGAGGGAAAGAGAAGTAGCTTTGCTTGTTCTATGATCCCAATGTCCCCCATTACGAGTTCCTTTCAGGTCCTGTGCAGGATGAATTGCGATTTTGGGGGTCGCCGCACCGGAATTCTCGTGGATGCGGAGGCGGGTCTTTGAAGCTTGCGGACTTTGCCTCTTCCGCTTCTTCGTTGAGGTTGTCTGCTTTTGCTAGCGCACCGGCCTCACGGAAAAGGACCAGGGAGAAGGACAGCCAGCCGCCGCCATCCAAGCGCAGGGCTGGCTCCGCTGCTGTTCCTGAAGGTCGGGCTGGCGCCTCTCCAAGCTGGACTCCCAAGGCTGCTGAGCTTCGTCACCTTCGTGCTCCTGAACTTGCGTCTGGCTCGAGTGGGTTCGCTGTTTTCGCCTCGGCTGTCAATGACAACCCTGACCAGGACCTTGAAGGATGCTTGCATGAGTGTGATCCTGTCTGTGCTGACAAGCCCGCGTCATCTCGGAGGTGGCCAAAATCCAAGTACGAGGTTGAGGGAGGCTTCCGCTTTGAGTGTGAGATGTGCCCGTGGGTTTCTGAGCACGATACCCGCCGCAGGGCGGCCGTTGCTGCGACTAAGCATTACAAGCGGGTGCGCCCGGAGAAGCCGCGCAGAAAGTGCCGATGGTGTTGCCCCTACTGTTCCAAAGGCTGGCTCCTTAAGGATGTCGATGGCTACCCCAACAAGCTCCTCATCAAGTGGCGAGCTGAGCATCGGCATGAGCATCACCCTCGGGTTTCCGATGCCAACTGGAGGAAGGCTTTGTCACGCCAAAGGCAGACCCCGCAGTTTCGTAAGGCCAGGAGGGTCGACATGCTCAACAAGTTCACCGCCGTTCCTAGCCGAATCTCGGACATGAAGAAGGCGGGCTTTGACATCTTCACTTGGCCCCGGCTTGTGCCTCGCACGGCTTCTAACGCCAAGGGTGCCAAGCGACTTCAGATGCTTCGAGCATGGAAGTGCGCCCAGTGCCACGCCACCTTTCGGGAGAAGCGTGGCGTCAATGAACATCGATGCGGCGGACCCAGGTGTATCCCGGTCGCCGCTGCCAAGCAGAGAATTGCAAAGCTTCGGGCCGCAAGGCGGTGGGCTGACGCTCACCCTGACCTTCATGGCCTTGCTGCTGCGGACCTTCATTCTACTTTCGATGCTGCTGTGCAGATTTTGGAGGCGGAGCCTGGCCTTCGTAAGTGAATTTCGCTGTGCTACTTTCAACGTTCCGGCGGTGGTGGGGAAGCTGCCGCTGCTCTTCCAGATGCTGGACTTGTATGGGGTCCAGGTTGTGGCCCTGCAAGAAGTTTCTATCAATTTGCCGACTCGGCAGAGGTTCCGCAACGTGTGCCGACAACATGGCTTCAACGTTGTCTTTGGCGGGCTGGATGAGGCTGGCGTCACGAAGGTCGCTTTGCTCTCTTCACTGCCCATCTCGGAATTTGTTTGCGATTCTCCATGCCCTGATCGTATAGCTTGTGGTGTGGTCGAACTTCGGTTTGGAGCTGGCTCTGAGATCGCTTATACAAAGCTTTTGGTCTCTTCAGTCTATGCTCATGCGTGCGATGAAGTTGCTCGCGAGTCCTTCCTCAAGGATTGCCTCCGGAGCTTTTCTTTGTTGAGTGCCCGATGGCTGGCCTTGGGCGACTTCAACCTGGAGGTCGAGGATCCTGCTTTGGCTCCTTACTTGGCCTCGGGTGCTGTTCATTTCCTGAGCTCCCCCAGGCCACGCGTCGTGATGGCCACAGACGTATTGACTTCGGGCTTGCTCATCCTGCTCTTGTTGCTGTACAGAGGGTCCAGTCTGTTGACGTGGACTTCGGCATTTCTGACCACGACCTCGTGGCTTATGGCTTTGAAGTTGGCGACATCGATGTGGGTTCCTACAAGCCCCACCGCCCCTCCTTCTGTGATGCCAGTGGGAGGGATGCACTCCCTGACTGTGATGCTGAGCTGCTACTCGCTGTTCGTCGCCTCCTTGATGGGGGTGCGGTTGATGAGGCTTGGACTTTGCTCTCGGACTTTGCTGAGGACCAACTTTGCTCTGACTTTGGCAGGGGTGTGTGCAGGCGTTCTTCTCAGTGGCGCCCTACCACCTTGTCCAAATGCTCCAAGGCTGCTGTTGCTCCGGAGTCTGTTCACTTGATCAGGCTCCGCCGCTTTCATCGCCGTCTTCTTCATTTGGGTCGGCATCCTCACGAAGATCAGCTTCGGGCTCGCGCTCAGCGTGATGCGGATCACTTCCGTGATACTTTGCGTGCTGCTGCAGGTCACCACTGTGGCCTCCCTAGCCGACCTGATCAGCTTGCAGAGCTTGCAGCTGTTGTCGACTCCATCATCAAGGATGAGGAGAAGGAAGTGCGGGACCATCGCATCAAGGCCTGGAAAGCTTGCATGCGCCTTGCCCCGGACAAACAGCGCACCTGGGTGAAGACTCATGCCCAAGCTCATGTCAAGGAGATGCGCTCTGCCGGGCCCTCTCCTACCTTGGGAGGCGTGACTGCTGCTGCGATTCATCCCGCTCGCGTAGTTCTTGAGCAACAAGCGGAGTGGACTAGCTACTGGAGGCAGCGGCCCGGACGTGGCATTGACCTCGGCTTCCGCTCCCTGTTGGCCGATGTTCCGGTCCCTGATGGCGAGATCCTCGAGGTTGCCGTCACTGTTGAGGAGTTTCAGTTGGCCATGCGAGCCATGACCAGCAAAGCAGCTGGCCCTGACGAATGGGATGCGGGCCACCTTCTCCAGATGGGTCCCGGCTGGTGGACTGGCGCTACGGAGATTTGGAATCACTGCCTCACCTCAGGGGACATTCCGCAGCGCTGGATGGAGGCCAGGGTCATCCTTATACCCAAGCCCACGGGCGGTCATCGACTTTTGGCGGTCGCATCTCGTGTTGTGGAGAGCGGGGGCTAGACCACGCTTAAGCACCTCAAGCCTTGGATTGATAGCTGGGCCACTTGTCACCTGTTCGGAGGCTTGCCTTCCTGTGGCGCTGAGGATGCCTTGCGCTGGATTTATCATGGTTTGGCCCGTGCCCGTGAGGATGGCATCGCACTTCGCCAGGACATCCACCGCTACTTTGACAGCATCGACTTCGAGCAGGGCCTGGCCGTCCTTGATCACCTTCGTGCCCCAGCCTGTGTGACGAGGCTCATTCGGACCTTCTATGCCCGAGGATCCAGGATTTTTGCTGTTGGACCTTTCCAAGGCGACGACTGGCAACGTGGCTTTCAGCGTGGCGTACTCCAAGGCTGTCCTTTGTCGCCTTTGGTTGGTGCGGCGGTGATGCTTCCTTGGCTTCACCAAGTTCGGCTCCCGGGCATCGAATGCGCGGTCTACATGGATGACAGGGTGCTTTGGGCGTCCGATCCTTCGAGCGGCGCTCAGCTTCGACTGGCCTTGGAACGGACCGAGCTCTTTGACCGCGTCTTTGGCTTTAGATGCCGGCCTTCTAAGTGTGGCATCGCTGCTTCTTCGGGCGGGGCTGTAGCTGACTTCGGCCTTGACCACTTGGAGTACCCCTTTGACACTAAGTTTGCTGTGCTGGGAGTTGTCTTTGAATTTTGCGACCTCAGCCTAGTGCAGATGCTCAACTTTGACATCGACATCGTGCTGGCCCGCATCACGGACATCACGGTGAAGTCTTGGAGTGCTCGCTTTGCTTTGCTGAGGACGCTGGTGGTGCCTGTCTTTACTTGGGCAGCTGGTGTGACCACCCTCCCTGAAGGTGATGTCTCCAGAATCCGGAATGCTATCCTCGGCTCCTTCGGTACTCAGCTTCCTCCAGATGTGCCTTGGGGACCGTTCTTTGAGATTCTTGGTTGGCAGGTGGAGCCCACCTTTGCGCTTGTTGCGGCCGCCGTCAGAGCTGCCGCGAGGTGCCAGGCTGCTGCTAAGGCTTGGCTTGAGAGTGCTCCTTTGCGCTTTGCGGCTAGTACTTGGCCTACCAAGCTGCCTGCTGCTGTGAAGGCGCTCCATGACCTTGGCTGGGGCGTGTCTGCTGATGCGACTCGCATCCTTCGCCCTGGTGAGAATGGCGCTTGGCGAAAGTTCCATTTGGGCCAGGATTGCTTTGGCTGCGTCTTTGGCTGGCTCACTGAAGCTCGGCGAGCTGCCTCCTACTTTGCTTCTGCGAGGGTGCGCAAGGTTCTCCACAGAGCCCCTGACCCGGAGTTTCCTTTGGCGCAGGGACTGCAGTTGCCGCTTCCTGGAGGCGGTGTGCCCTGCTATGGAGGCCATAGGCTGTGCGCTCTCCAGGCCTCGGACGACCGGGAGCTCTTCTTGGCTTCGCTTGCCGTCGGCTGCAACTGGTGGCACTTTCACCGCGGCTCCAAAGCTCCTCGTGGTGATCCTCTTCAACTTTGTGCTTGCGGTGGCTTCACTCCTTCGAGGCCGCACTTTGGGTCTGTCCTCACACAGCTGAGGCCAGGGAGGGAGTTCAGCCTCCTGCTGATAGAGGCGAGGAAAGACTCTTTGCAAAGGCCATCCCCCCTCGACCCGCCCCTCCTGGTGGAGTTCCTGAAGGCTTGCAGCTGCAGCTTGCTGACTGCATTGAGCGCAAACTGAGAGAGGATTCTTGCCTCTTTATCGCTACGGACGGCTCTGCCGTTGAGGAGGTTGCTGCTTTCGCTGTGGTCGTGCCCGACTGCCCTCCGTTTGTCTCTGGCCTGGACACGGAGGCCCAGACCGCGTACTGAGCTGAGACGCCGCTACCTTCACCCTGGAGGCTGCTGCACTTGCTACGAGCCGGCTGGTTGGTCTTCGTGCTCACATCATCATTGTGATCGATTGCCAGGCCGCCATCACGACTTTGAAGGGTGGTGGGAAATCGCCCAACCTTGCTCGCCGTGCCCACGATGCTTTGTGCAGACTTCGTGCCCTGGCGGAAGTTGAGATCTTCTGGATTCCCGCTCACGACAAGATCAAGTCTGGATGGGTGCCTCATCGACTTGCTTCTGAAGTCAACGACGCCGCAGACAAGGCTGCTCGGGCAGAGGCTACCAGACTGCTTCGTGGATCTCAGCTCCAGCGCTGGCTCAGGCTTCGTGAAGATGCTGTTAAGTGGGAGGCTGCCGCCATCAAGGCAGCCGCTGCGGCCGCTAAGGTTGCCAGAGCCTGGTGGTGGGCGGCGTGAGCCGCCGTGGAGTCGCCAGGGGGCTTCGGCCGCGCCCTGCGATTCGCTTCAAACAGTTTACACCGGGCTATCATCTTGATTTATTGGTGAGGGGAGCGATCACCCTCCCCGTTTGTGCCTTTCTTGGGCTGCCATTGTCTGTGGCTTCTACCGTGCCCTCCATCACGCGCGTGATCTCCTTGACGACCTATGAG